GCCGGTGGGGTGTGCAACCTGTCCCTTCTGCTGGACTGATTATTTCCACAATCCCCTTCTCTCATGGGTTTTAATGTAAAGATTATGTTACAGTATGTTATGTTGGGTTATGTTTTGCATTATCTTGTTTTTGTTCTGCTTGTGATTAGAAATGTTGATTATTTACCATGGATATTTTAATTCTTGATTTATGTAAATGTTTCTGTTAGTTGTTAACCACCAGGAGTCCTTTGTAGATTATGGTGGTATATAATTACATTAGTAAATAAGAAATAAAGAAAAACATTTCTGTGGCTAGCAAAATTGGCATTATACAGACTTCTGGTGAGGACATGGCCGGCTAGACATCCCTGAAGGAGTGGGGACAGCATTATGGCTGAAATTGCCAACCAGAGGACGAATCTTGGCCAACAAAATCTCTCTGGAGAAAGGAGAAATTGTGGGATTGCCCACATGTACTCCAGACAGCTGCTGTTTGTGAGTAGACTGCAAGAACTGAGTTTTTTGCAGTTGGCTGGTGAGTTGAGTGGCTGGGAGTTGAGGGATTCCATCTACTCCCTCAACCGTAATATAGCCTATATGGACAATAAGCACAGCTGAGCCTCATTTCTTAATCACTTTTTGAATTATTTTTTACTGCTTTTTAAATTTTAAAATCTTCAGAATGGCAAGTTTGATGGCATTCACTGAGTGAGTTTCCTTCAGCCCATAATGAACAAAATTTTAAGTGTGACTCAGCAATTTTTTGGGAATAAATGGCAAAAGGGTGATTAGAGTGTTGTTTTTGGAAAGTCATAACTGGATTAAAGGTCTATATTGACTTGAAATGGGATTTTTAAATTAATTGAATGAATCCTTCCTGTGGGAAAACGGTTTGTGTTTTGAATCCCCCCCCCCAAAAATGATAAGATGGGACTTAGAAAGATGGACACTAGAGGGAGCCAAAAGGAAGTAAAGATTAAATTAAAGGAGAAGAACACCTATTTGACTTGTTAACACAGAATGGAGCAAAATACCTTAACATCAAATGTACTGAAGGATATATCTGAACAATGGACTCAGAAGTTAATTTCAAGAATGTCTGCCATCATAGATATACTCTGTGTGAATGATGTTATGGAAGAGGAACAACAATTGGCGTTGTGCTGTGTTCAGACTAAGAAAACCTGTAATATAAATTCTTACCACAGTCCTTGAAGCAGTTCAAACCATGGTTTTCATTTCTAGTGAGAACATTTATATTCAGTAGTAAGAACATAAATCCCAGTCTTCCAGTTCAATATATTGTAACAAAATACTGAATTATGGTACAGAAAGGGAAGGAAGGGGAGGGATTTTATTAGAAATAGATTGGTGTGAACTAATATAGTTTTTGATCCAAAAATGTTTCTGATGACACATTTGAATAACACTTCTTCATTCTTTAAAAAAACTTAATATGCATTTGATTATATCAGCCAATATTTTATTAGAATATTACTGAAAATGAGAATATCCCACTAAACAATTTGCAAACAGTGTGTTTTGGTTTATAAGTAACATAAAATAATGGGTTTCATACAGGTAACAAGCTAACTATTTCTAAATAAATATTAATTGTATTTAATGCTGGGACATCATTTAAGTTGTAATCTTTTATTAAAGGTCTCAGATTTAATTGGTGCAATAGGTTAAGAGGATTTTTTTTTTAAATGATACATTATATATTTTTTAAAAAGTATATAAGAGAGTTATTTTAGAAAAAGTGGTCACCTTTTTTGAATTTTTTGTCTGAAAAGCTGTTGCCAGTTACTGTAGAGATGACATTGAGTGTGGGCCAATGCTTTAATTGGTATAAGGAATTATAATATATTCACTACATTCACACTCAGCCTTGGCTTTTGCAAAAAAAAAAAAACAGCCTACAGGATTATTGTTAGTATTGTAACAAAACAATAATGTGTCTTACACATAAACATTCTCTAAGTTGAGTGCTATAAAAATGTCTAGCTAAGAACTGGAAACGTTACGGAAATACTTTGTGCTAAATGATCTCCAGTTAAAATTACTGTTGTTATTACAATTTCTGCCAGTTATCAAGACTTAGACTTCATGAAGAGAGATTATATACTAACAACAGGACAAACCATACTGAACCAGACATGGAACCACGTCATGAAGTCTAAGTCTTGATTATTAGCAGAAATTGTAATAACAACAGTAATTTTAACTGGAGATCATTAACTGTGTGTAAGAAAAACAAGGCACTCCATTTTTAAAAATCCTATTGATCCTATTTATTCTATTTTAGAAACTAGATAGGGGAAAACCTCCATAGGGAACTTGTGTCAGCCCAAGTTAATACATTGTTAACTTTAAAGCGAAATGTTATTGCAATGTTACTTAACATTAGATTGTAAATAGAAATTCATTATCATGTTTATTTCTTGAAATGCATTTAAGTGTAGAAATCCTACTAGATTGTTATAGTTGCTGCTGTTATTGGTCTTCCTCTTATTCTTGTGTGTTAGAAATAATAGCTATATTATTAGCCTCAGTAGTGTTTTGTTCCTTATTCGGAACACCAAAGAAGTCCTAGAGCAGTGTTTCTCAAACTTGGCAACTTTAAGGGGAATGCTGGCTGGGGAATTCTGGGAGTTGAGGTCCACCTGCCTTAAAGTTGCCAAGTTTGAGAAACACTGCTCTAGAGCAAAACAAAAGTGAAAAGTGTCATCCAATGAAATGTAATTTCATTGAAATATGAGGGAGTTTCTCCCCTTCACGGGCAGAATTTTGGTGATACAAAGAGAAGGAAAGTACCCTATAAATATGGAGTTTTAACTGTTTATATGTACCTTAATGATGTCTGGTTCAGCATGGTTTGTCCTGTTGTTAGTATATAATCTCTCTTTGCATGCTGTCTATTGTATACAATATTTTATTTTATTTATTTATTTTCAGACTTGTATGCCACCCATCTCCCCCACGGGTGACTCTGGGCGGCTCACAATAAAAAAGAAAAA